TGTCTTTACTGAGCCTGAAGAAGAGGCTCTAGTGAATTTCTTCACCTTGGTTGCTTTAACAGCCTTAGTGGTTGATTTCTCAGCCTTAGCTAATTTCTTGCCCTTGGCTGGGAGACCAGCCTTGGCGGCAGAAGGACACTTTCTAACAATATGTTAGTTTTACCACAGTGTCTACACTTCCTATAGCTGAAGCTAGCTTTAGGGTCAGGAAGTACCAGAGTAGAAGAGGGACAAGCTCCAATGATTCCTTTCTTATTAATTCTAGGAGGAACTTTTGAGGATTTGGAGTCCTTAGGTGAATCATTCACCTTGAGCTTAGACTTAGATTTCTGAAAAATATTCAAATTTCTTAGTCCTTGAAGAAGAAGAAGGTGCACAAGCTGTAGGAATAGATTTAGATCTATCTGACTCGTTAACCTTCTTAGGAAAGAGGTGCTGTGATAATGGATTTACCTTTGTCTTTGCAACCTGAATTCGAAGTAGTTCCATCAAGATGTGTTGATCCCAGATCTCTCAATAACACTAATAATCTAGTTATGAATAACCAAATTATAGTGATTTTACGAAGAAAGTTATGAAGACTCAAAAATAAAATAAGAACATTCAAGAACAGTTTTAGGTTTTACTTTATAAATAATGAAACGTAAAACAAAGAGTAAAAACCTTTTTCTCTATCACACTTACGCTCTTTTTCAATAGACCTAATCATCTATTTATACTAGTTGGCTAATACTAAGATAACTATATATTGMTACTTTCTAGCAAATAGTCTAGCTAACAGATAAAGTTTATCTTTTACATGGATAAGCATTATTAACAAGATAAACTATAATTCCAGCTATTGATTATCAATGTGACGATTTCATCCTTATCTTCAAATMTTCATTGCACGCTTGGATGAATACTTAGAAAATCTTCTAAGTGTTTGTTTGTCCAGAGCATCGATGAGAACGCATCGTCCATTGGTCCTCTGGTTGAACTTCGTCCATTGGTCCAATGTTCATCGATCCTTTGGTTGGTCTTTCTATCGATCCAATGGTCTAACTTCGTTCATCGGTCCAATGGTTGTTCTTTCCATCGATCCTTTGGTTAGTCTGTACATCGATCCAATGGTCGAATCCAGACTTGGTCGTTTCTGCTTTGATGTCTTCATTGGTCTTCTGGTTCTTCATCACTTGTTTGTTTTTCATTACTTTTTACATTTTGCATTGTGGGTTTAACAATCTCCCCCTAAGTATTGAAATAACAAAGTCTAATCTAGATACATATGGAGAACATACACTAATCGAGAAGAAAAACATCAACTTCCAAGTTTTCATTGGATGACAAATTTTCTTTTCATTGGTGTTGTGATGGTGGTTGCGTTGGTGCAGCGGATGGAGATGTATATGCAGCCGTCGCCTCTGTCTCCCCCTCACAAGGTCCAAGACCTTGATCATCGAGGTCTTGGTCATCGTGGCGTTGTCGTTTGCTTGGGCGGCTGCTGGAGCATGAGGCGTAAAATTGTACCAACATAGGCCTGGAACTCAGCCTTGGTGACCAGATCGGCTAAGGCGGTAAACCCTGCAGCAACGGATGCTGCAGGTTGTGCCTCTGTTCCTGAGGCGCCTTCTTGGCCTTGTGTGAAGGTAGGCCGCGAAGGACTTCCATCATGTCCTTGATAGCCTTCGAGAGAAGAACTATCTCGTGATGTTTGGACATCCTCTTCCTCTTCTTCAGCTTCAGAGGCTGAGTAAGTGAATCGGATGTGTGTACCCTTTGGTAGATCAAATATCGAGGGTAGTGCTGCACGAAATGAAGATTGCTCTGAACGATCTATGGGTTTAACATCAGAAGCAACGAATGCATTTGTGTGTGTGAGAGGTTGTGACGAGTCCTGAGGCGAAGGAGCTCTTATATCTTCATCACCTCTCTGTTGAGAGAGGGGTGATGGGGTATGAGATTCCTCGGCTTGTTCATCTCTAGAGGCTCGAAGGATGGTCTCTGGATGGCTAGCTTGGGTTTGAATTGGACTGGGTCATCCTGTTTCAATATCCCTTTGGCTTTGATCGCCAGGGATAGTGGATGTGGGTGCCCTTTGGGTAGTAGGTAGGGAAATATGTTGGTGAGGGCCGGGGGAAGCACGATGGTTGTGCTCCCTCACTTGGAGGGGACGGCTCTAAGTGCTCTGGGGTAGCTGCCCTTGGTTCTTAGGACAGCATGGAACGTTCATAGGCTTGGCGTGTCTCACTTGTCGATGGAATGACAGTGAGCATAGCCCTTGACAGCGATCTGTTGATGCTGTATCCTTCCTTCGAAAGGATTGGGCGGTGTCCTTGCATTTAGTAGACCGGGGTGTATGTCTCTGTTGCGGGGATTTGTGGAAGACGTTTAAAAAAATGGAATTTAAAATCTCATCTAATTGTAAGATTAATATTAATTACGAAGTTTTGGTTGTAACACCACGGTTACATAACAAACAATTACCGAACCACCATTAAATTAATTTAGTTTAAAAAGAAACCTCAAATTATGGGATAACGATATAGAGCCCAAGACACATAATTTAATACTTAAAGTTTACATAACGTGATCATCGGGGACATGTCTACCCGGAACATACTAACTATTTACAATCCCAAAAGTTTAATATACATATTTATATATACCTAAACCAAAAGCAGCCTTCACCTGCAAATTCCTATCGATCACTCGACCTTGTTCTTACTTTTGCCCAATTTCCCTG